AGTGCCCAGCCGTTTCCTTGCTGCCTTAGTAAACAATCCAGTGTGGCTCCAAACACCAAATCGGTCAGTTGCAAGCAATAGGCATTCCCAGCAGTACAATTTGCAGCAGTATTTCACAGAGACTGTGAGCCACGGGTCGCGTTCATAATTGCTCGTCTGAAAATGACGGACAACCCCTTTTCCTTGGTGGGACAGGCTAACTAGCGCAGGAGTTGGGCGACCTCTTTGCACAATATCCAGCTTTTCGTGGAAGGCTCGTCTTGCAAATTGTGTGGAAAGTAGTTCTGCAGCCAGACCAACGTCTTCTCCTTCGGCCATTTTGAGTTAAAATGCGAGTGACAGCTCTAGCAGACGCGAATCCATGCCAGTCTCGACGTAAGGCCCTCTAGCTAGCCCTAGTAGGCAGACGAGAACAAGTCAGGATACAGGATACAGATCACGAGTCTGAGACTCGTGATCTGATTGGCTATTGAAACCTGATGGTACCCGTTCATTTACAGCGCACAGGGGCCTGCTCTGTTTAATCTGAAGGCCCCGAGCAAGTTTAATTTACCTGGCAACACAAGCTAGATGAAATATGATTGGTTAAAAACTCTACCATAATAAATAACTTATTTTTCGAGTGGCTTTCAATGTTATTTAAAATAACATTGAAAGCCACTCAACTAAGTGGAAATAATATGACGTAAAGAATACAGAGAATAATTTTGTTAACATATTTATGAAAATAAAATAACAAATTTATGTTATTCTCAGAAAAGTAAATTTACTTTTCTGAGAATGTTTAGGCCAGCAGAGAAGGCCTTGCTGGCCCTCAGGGTCCGCCACTGACAAGTATGTGTTAGACCTGTGATTGACAAGGCCTCAGACCAGGGTGTAGCCGCCTCTCACCCTAAGATGGGCAATATGTACGTGACTTCAAAGTGTTTCCTCAGTGTTGTATTCACTTCTCACCTGCAGACTCGGTGGCTCAGTTGATTCCCGCGGCAGACTCGCCAGTTCACGGGCGAGTCCAACAGTACCGCCAGCTGCTGGACGGCCTCCCCATGGATGCGTACACTCACGGCTGCATCCTCCACCCGGAGCTCACCACCGACTCTATGATCCCAAAGTACGCCACTGCTGAAATACGTCGTAAGTGAAGCCAACTCGCTGCATCATGCGGGGAAGATGCGTCCTTTTCAGGGTGGACAGTTTCCGCTGAATTTCTGGAATGTTTGCAGTAAACTTCCATGCAGACTAGAGATGGGGAATTTGGGGTCATTCTATAAATTACAGACCCAAGATGAAGTTGGGACGTTGTGTAAACCATAAATAAAAACTATACAATGATTTGCAAAATATGTTCTACCTATATTCAATTGAATATGCAACAAGGACAAAATATTCTGTTCCAACTTTGACTGTTTTTCGCAAATAATCTTTAACTTCGAATTTTATGGCTGCAACAGGTTCCAAAAAAAAACTGGGACAGGTTCATGTTGACCACTGTGTTACATCACCTTGTCTTTGAACAACATTCAATAACGTTTGGGAACTGAGGACACTAATTGTTGAAGCCATGTAGGTGGAATTCTTTCCCATTCTTGCTTGATTTGCAGCTTCAGCTGGTCAACAGTCTGGGGTCTCCGTTGTCCTATTTCACGCTTCCCAATGCGGCAACACACATTTTCAATGGAAGACAGGTCTGGACTGCTGGCAGGTCAGCCTGGTACCTGCACTCTTTTACGACAAAGCCAGACTGTTGTAACACATGCAGGCTGTGGTTTGGCATTGTCTTGCTGAAATAAGTGGGGGTGTCCATGAAAAAGACATTGCTTGGACATCAGCATATGTTCCTCCAAAACCTTTCAGCATGAAAGGTGTCTTCAGAGATGTGCAAGTTACCCATGCCGTTGGCACTAACACAGCCCCATACCATCACAGGTGCCGGCTTTTCAACTTTGCGTCCATAACAATCCGGATAGTTCCTTGCGTGTTTGGAGCACAGGACACGACATCCAGAATTTCCCAAAACAATTTGAAATGTGGACCTGTCAGATGACAGACCACTTTTGCACTTTGCATCAGTCCATTTTAGATGAGCTCGGTCGCAGCTGGCGGCATTCCTGTGTGTTGTTGATAAATGGCTTTTGCTTTGCCTTGTACAGTTTTAAGTTGCACTTACGGATGTAGCGTCGAACTGTCTTTCCCGACATTGGTTTTCTGAAGTGTTCCTGAGCCAATGTGGTGATTTCCTTTACATATTGATGTCAGTTTTAGATGCAGTGCCGCCTGAGGGATTGAAGGTCACGAGCATTCATGCTGGTTTTCGGCCTTGCCACTTACATGCAGTCATTTCTCCACAGTCTCTGAACATTTTGTTGATATTAGGGACCGTATCTGATAAAATCCCTGAATTCCTTGCAGTCGTACGTTGAGGAACATTGTCCTGCAAGTGACGATTTTGTCATGCAGTTTTTCACAACGAGGTGAACCTCGCCCCACTTTTTGCTTGCGAATGACTGAGCAATTCTGGGAAGCTCCTTTTCTACCCAATTGTGGGATAGACCGGCTGCCAGTTAGCTTGTTCATCTGTGAGGTGTTCCAAACAGGTGTTTGATGAGCATTCCTCAACTTTTCTTTTTTGCCGCCTGTCCAATCATTTTTGGAATGTGGTGCAGCCATAGACTTCTCAGTTAATTATTTGCTTAAAACGTTTATGAATTTGAACATGAAATAACTTGTCTTTGTCGTGTATTCAATTAAATATACATGTAGGTTGAAAATGATTTGCGAACCATTGTATTGTTTTTATTTATGTTTAACACAATGCCCCAACTTCATAGGAATTGGGTCTGTACATCTCACTGATATGGTAAATGTGGTTGTTGGAATTATTGGGAGGCCTGCACTTGTTTCTCTTCAGCAGACCATTTTGGGGTTATGAGAGACAATGATATCCTAAGTGTGTTACTTATTTTTTATTCGCAGCCTACGCAGTGGTCTGATTTATTCATTTAATTTTGCTTTCACAGTTCATGGTCGCACAATTTTACTGATTTTTTTTTGGTTTTTTTTTTTCTGTACAATTGAAAACTTTTTCCTCCCTACTGTTTATTTTGGGTATAATTCCACTGTTGGCCACTAGATCCTGGCACAGTCATTTTGTTTGACACTGTAAATCTGGAAAAAGAAGAGTGAAAACTGGAATTGGGCCTATTTCAAATTCAGTTTCTTTTTTGCTGGAGAATCTAAATTCCTGTTCAATCCTGCTTTTACACACAGAAAGCAAAGGCTGTAGGTTACTTTTAGTATGTACACATTTGAGCATTATTATTGATGTAAATTGTGAGATGATAAACTTGCTAGTTTGGGAAAAAAAGGTTTTGTAGGAAGTTCCAGGCTCTTCCGTCTCATGATTTGGTCTTTTCCCCCTTTCCACAAAAAGGTCTCCAAAGAGCTTTGTTTCTTACTAATTTTTGCTAGCTTGTGGTAGAGCTGGGCAATAATTCAAGATCAATATACAGTATGTCACGATAGAAACCTGATCAATATCAGAAATTGCACTCAATATAATATTGATTTGGGTCGGCATGGTGGTCGACTGGTTAGCATGTCCGCCTCACAGTCCAGAGGTCATGGGTTCCTCCCTGTGTAGAGTTTGCATGTCCTCCCCGTGCCTGCGTGGGTTTCCTCTGGGTACTCCAGTTTCCTCCCACCTTCCAAAAACATGCATGGCAGGTTAATGGAATACTCCAAATTGTCCCTGAGTGTGAGTGTGGACAGTTGTTCGTCTCTGTGTGCCCTGCAATTGGCTGGCAATCAGTTCGGGGGGTGTGCCCCACCTACTGTCCGAAGACAGCTTGGATAGGTTCCTGCATGACCGCGACCCTCGTGAAGATAAGAGGATTAGAAAATGGATGGATGGATGGAGTATTAGAATTGTTTGAATGTGATCTTTAATCAATGTAATTGTTTTTCATTCATTCATTCATTTTCCGAACCGCTTGATCCTCACTAGGGTCGCAGGGCGTGCTGGAGCCTATCCCAGCTGTCTTCGGGCAGTAGGCGGGGGACACCCTGAACCGGTTGCCAGCCAATCGCAGGGCACACACAGACAAACAATCCATGCTCACACTCACACCTAGGGACAATTTAGAGTGTGCAATCAGCCTGTCATGCATGTTTTTGGAATGAGGGAGGAAACCGGAGGACCCGGAGAAAACCCACGCAAGCACGGGGAGAACATGCAAACTCCACACAGGGAGGCCGGACCTGGAATTGAACCTGGTACCTCTGCACTGTGAAGTCGACGTGCTAACCACCCGACTACCGGGCCGAAATTGTTTTTCTCATTTTAAATAGATTAAAACAAATCTGTAATTACTAATATATTACAGAAATGAAATGCATTATGAAACAGGATTTAACCATATCGCCCAGCCCTACCAAGCATGTAATGTTTAAAAAGGCGTTGATTTAATCTGTATATTGACCAATTTATTTGACTTTTTCCATAGCTGCGTTGACTTCTTATGAAAGGTTAAGTATTATATGTTAAAAGAAAATTATGTAAATTCTGCATTATATCTCTGCGTCCTTATTTTGAAGTTAAAAAAAAAACAATCAATACTTATCATCAGGGACCAATCTGAAATACTTATATGATATACTTTTCAGCCATAGCGCCCACCCCCAATTTATGGATTGCAGCCATTTGAGGGACAGGCCAAAGCACCGGATTTTCAAAATAAATACACATTTTTTTTGCTCAGTTTTTCCATGCAAACTAAATGGCCCACCGACTGGTACCAGGGCCCTTGCATGTCGTCATGAGACATAACTAGCTAAAGCCACCCCAGTATTTGCATGTTGTGCGTTTGTGACTGCAGGGCATTTGGTCAACGCAGCGACAGAATTGATGAAGTTAGACCACGAGGAACCACAACTGACAGAACCTTACCTGTCCAAGCAAAAGAAGCTCATGGTCAGTTCTGTGCATGAAGGCTTGCATCTCTATTCTGTTTTGTTTTTGTCAGTAAAATACCAAATACCATTTTAGGCAGGATACCTTCAAATCAACATTTTTTTTGTGACTGTAAAGTTGTCATTTATTCAACCCATGTCTCCAACATTACAAAATCAATTTCTAAATGTGTACATCATATGTAGCTGTTAACTATGCGAATGCTTTTTTTTTTCTACCTGTACATTGACCTTTATCGCACGACGTCTTCCAGGTGGCAAAAGCCGAAGCGTTCTTTGCCTGCACATCTACTAATCAAAAAAAAAACCACCCGTGTGTAAGGGTGATTGAGAAAACAGGCTCCCCGTTGTGGCGTGTTTGCTGAGAAAAAGATGTGAAGTGAGGTATACTGTAGATTCGAATGGTAAATGGAATCAATTGAATGAATTGGAATTGATTCTAATGGAGGATTGCGGCCCTCATTTACATTTTAACAGGTATGTTGATTCAAAAATGTGTTGAACCCGCGGACCGCTGTGATGCCTCATTTTGCCCACCACTCTTTGTCAGCGTGTTTTCTATATCCCAAAAGTATTCATGAACGTGTAAGTACTTGAAAATCTCAAGAGCCTCGAGTTTTCCGACAAGGGTAAAAATCGGCAGACTCGCCGCCGTCTCGCACTAACAACAGGAGGGGGGGGGGGGGGGGGGGGGGGGGGGGACATTTTGCCTGCAATGACGATGCAAAAAAAATAAAAATAAAAAAATCCCAACAAAAACAGCTCATACCTTCGATGGAAAATCTTGGCGCTTTCGAAAGCTACCTTGAGACCGAGAACACGCCTATGTCTATTTTGAAATGACTTTTTTTTTTTTTTTTTTACATTTGGCAGGCAAAGATCTTGGACCATGACAATGTCAACTACCTGAAGAAAATCCTGGGAGAGTTGGCAATGGTTTTAGATCAAGTGGAGGCCGAACTGGAAAAAAGGAAACTGGAGTACCAAGGTAGGCCGGCCCGACACCTCTCCGACCTGGTGACAAACGTCGGCAACAGTACAGCACTGTCGTTTCCCCTTGGCAGGTCAAAAGTGTGAGTTGTGGCTATGCGGACCAGACTTTACACTAGCCGATATCTGCCTGGGCGCTTTGCTGCACAGGCTCAAGTTCTTAGGACTTTCTAAGAAGTACTGGGAGGACGGCAGTCGGCCCAACCTGCAGACCTTTTTTCTGCGTGTGCAAAAACGCTACGCTTTCCGCAAGGTCCTGGGCGACATCCACACGACGCTCCTGTCGGCGGTCCTGCCCAACGCCTTCCGAATGGTCAAAAAGAAGCCGCCGTCCTTTTTCGGGGCCTCCTTTCTTATGGGATCCCTCGGCGGCATGGGCTACTTTGCCTACTGGTTTTTAAAAAAGAAATACATGTAGTGAATGCTCTCTCGGTGTGTTCAATGTCTGTTCCGCGTGTGATGTTTGAACTTTTCTGTAACATTGGACGACTGCAGGAAAACCGTACCGAATAGAGGAAACGCCAATACTTAGTGTACTCGTGCGAGTAAAGATACACACTATGAAAACATTCCATAAGAAGACATTCTTGACTGCACATTTTCGGGTACTTGCAGCCTTCATCGAGCTCCTTTGCTCTTCTTTGCCCTTTGTTCAAGGCATGCAACCGGTTCACTTATAAATACACTGCACTCCAATGAAACTAGTGCAAGTCTCACTCACGCACACGCACGCGCACACAGAGGGGTTAAGTGACCTTGGCACGCCGGGCGCGACTCCTCGTCATTTACTCATCGCTGCTGGAAGCACGAAACCGCAGGAAAATGTTTCCCTTCTGAATTGGGGCCCGTGTCCAAAACAGAAAGTAGTTACGATAAAACATCTTAAGCCTTCGACTTCCCGAAGCTAAAAAGTGCCAGTTTTTTTCAGCATGTAAAATGCAGCTTTTACCTGACTATAATTACAATCAAATGTTAGAGTCAACTGCTAAATTGTCATTATTGTTGTTGAAAAAAGTATTTATGTTGATTCTCATAAGATTACATTTTCTCAAAACATTTACGTTATCCTCCCAAAATATCCATATGCTAAAATAAACAAAAAAATGTAAAAGCAAACCTAATTCTTGTCAGGCTTCATTCTAAAAAATAAAAATAAATAAAAATCGGATTCTTTTTGTCAAATTCTTATTGTAATATTGTCACTTTTCCCTCAAAAAATTACTTTCTTCCTGAGACAATATGACAATTTCATCAGACGATGAATTGGTGAAACTCTTTCTCATAAGAGAGTTACTTTTTTTCAAGAAATGCAACTGTACTGAAACAAATTTGAGTTTATTATCATCATCATCATATTGACTAATTTGCCAAAAAGACCAAGTCTGGAAAAAACATTGACTTTTTTTCCCCAACTAAAATACCACTATGCTAAAAAAAGGATTTTTGTCTTTAAAAAAAGTTACTTAATTTTGAGTTAATGCTCTATAGAAAATGAGTATATTCTCATCAGATTACAAATTTTCCCCTTATTGATTTCTGACCTTATTTGCCAAAGATGACGACTCACAAATAGTATGACTATACTTAAATAGTGTTCATTAAAGTGTTTATTGTTAGATTTTTTGGGGGGGGGTCAAAAAATTTCATTTAACAACACATTTTTGTTGACCCAAAAAAATAATGTGTAAAGGTTACAGTTTTATGTAAAATAAGTGATTAAATTCCCAGTTAATGCTCTATTATCCCCCCCCCCACCCCCCACCAGATAAACACTTTTTGGTGAAATAATTTTGACATTATTCTTAAACTCTGACTTTCCCCTAGAATAAAATACAACTGCATTCTTAAAGGAGCACAACTTTGTGGTATAACTTCTAATCTAAAACAATGACTCCATTCTGAGTTCATGCTCTATTGTCGCAAAAAAGACAACGAAAGAAATGCTTCCTCTTTTGACTTTGGGATCTCCAGACCAATTTTACTCTTGGAAAGAAATGAGTTGATTGTACGATGACCATTTTTTTCTCCTCAAAATATGCATAAATTTGACTATTGTCATAAGACTTTCAACTTTATACCGAATTTGTTTGTGGTTTTTTTTTTTAACTCCTTTAAATCTCTGCGTTGTTATGGATACGGGCCCGCGTTCTTACTTTCGAGACAAGTGCCGTGTAATTTAAGTGCAGGACGCGATACAACGCCATTTCCCAAACATACCAGCTTGGACATGTACAACACACACACACGTCCACTCAGTTGATGTGAGCACCAGAGACGCAATCTCACCGCACACATTCCGCAGACAGCGAGCTGAGGTTCTACGCTTGTAAACTACCGCAGCCACAATTCGGTTGAAGGTTTAAAGGAAAAACACTGTCACGTCCTCTTCCATGTATGTCGAAATGTTTCATGGATCCCCAGCAATAATGAGCAGGGAAAAGGAGTGGGTTCCGTTTGCCTTCAAGCTTTTATTTGTGTCCGTAATCGCGCCAACAACTCCGTCGAGCGAAGGTGACGCTCTGCGGCAGAGAGGTTTTGTACAGTCACGCTTCAACGGTGGCGTTAACCGAGCTTTGTTGAGCCGCAATGTTTGGCACATCTGAAAAATTCGCACAGCGCATCACCGGACAGAAATGGCCACAAAAAGAACATACAGTGAGACACGCTTGGCCGAAATGTTGCTTCGATTTACGTGTAGGCCAGCAACTAACGATCATTTTCAGAATTGATTCACCGATGAATTGGATTTTAAAAAAATGTTTTTTTTTTAATTTCTTTCTCGTTATCCAAAAACAAGAAACAATTTCAAATTGACAGTGCAGGAAATCCACGTAATTTCAAGGAGGGCGACAGCAATCGGAGATTTACTGCTGGAGGCTGAAATGATCAAGACAATTTGAAATTAAACAAGGCCTCCAAAATAGATATCCTCCCCGCCAAAAAAGTAATTAGCAATTCGTTTTATAAGACTGGTCAAAAGCAAATTTGAAATGAGAGGTGGCTTTTTGTGTCCCTAAACATATTTTCGAGGCTGATTTCAAAAATGCTTTTTTCCTATACCAAGTTTGAAAAATGTTTTATCTTTTTGTTTTGAAATTTGACCGATGTAAGATTACGCGACACATATTTTACCACGCATAATTTATAACTGACCTTTCAGAATAAAATTTCACCTGTTGCTGAACCTAACCCTTAATTCATAAATATTACAAAACACAATATGAATGCCATATCGTTACGAAAACCTGTGAAATGACAGCAGATAACAGAATCAGCACAAAAAAAATATATATCTGGAAATGTTTCCTTGCATCCCTGATGAATAAATTCAGTAAATATTTGTTGATCAGTTTAATGAATTAGTTGTCAATTCATCATTGCGCTTCAACAGTGTCTTGTCACACTTACCGTAAAACAAAGAGAAATACACTTTGTGTATTTCAAACAACCACGAAGCCTGACAGCGGTCCATTTAGCTTAATGGCAGCAATGCAAAAGGCCATCGGGGTAACAAACAGCATCTACTTGGTTGTGTTTATCCAACGCTTTCAGCACATCAACACGGGTAGACAAACGATATGACTAGTACTGCCGCTGACTGAGTTCCCTACAGGAGTTGTAATACTCTTCTTTGTTTGGGTCCGCAAGACTACTGTACCGCCCCCAGGTGGACAAGTTACAGACGTCGGAAGCGGCCACAAATACAGTACAGGATTCAGCATGATGCGCTATTTATTTTTTGGGATTCTATTTAATTTTGTTACTGAGGTGCAATCGATTACTTGATAACTAATTAGTTATCAAATTAATCACCAACTATTTTCAGAATCCTTTAGTCATTTAGAGACATTGTTCAAATCCTCAGAATTCCAGCCACTTCACAGTAAACATTCAGATTTCTGTCATCCTCCACAAAAGTAGACCGATTAGTTTTGTGTTGTATCAAAATGAGACATCTGCTTTTAGTTTGGAAAAACCAAGTCGCTAACTGACTCAGAATCAATTTATGCACATTTCTGCAATGCCAATTTTAAATAATTTCCTGTTTTGTGGATTTTTTTTTCTTTTTTGCATCTGATTCATCAATGAATCTAAATATGAATCAACAAACTAATTGATTATTAAAGCAACCATGAGTTGCAGCCCTGGTTACCAGCCTATGTTTCTATAATCATTAATTACTTTCTGATGGTATTTTGGTGGCTGGAACAGATTAACGGCATTTCCATTCGTTCCGGTGGCAAAAGATGATTTCAGGAATAGAAAATTCAATAAAATATTTTGCGTTATGAACATAGTTAAGCTGGTACATCAGAGCAGAGAAATAATGAAAATAATAATAAAATTTAATAATAAAAACCTGAACACTTTGCAAATTGGTTACTTTTGCGGAAGAGCATTTCATTGCTATGCCTGTTACTATACTGTACGTCACTGGCAAAGACGGGTGAACAAAGATACATCATTTGTAGAATAATAGTGGAAAGGAATCACATGACCTCTGTCACACATTCAGTTGAGACATTTGCATTGACAGACTGTTTGACTTTGGAGTGGAGGAACACGTGCGGCGTTTGCTCCCGCTCGAGGGGCAGCGAACTCAAAGCACAAAGGTGGCGAGAAAGTTTTGGCTTGTGAGAAAATGCACATTCGAGTGTGATTGAGTTTTGGAACACTCCATTCGGAATTCAAGCATGGGGGGGTGGGGTGGGACTCTATCACATCTGTTATTCCTTTACAGAAAAGTGGTGTAAAAAAAAAAATGACACGATCAAAAACATTCTGGGAAGATTTTGCTCACTGAACAAATATTTTGTTGTACTTCTGAGCATCACGTTTGTATTGACCATTGAACTTGGTACAGTATTGATTTCTTTTATGTTCCAATTTGGAATCGAATGTGCAGCATTCGCAAAGTGTTTGTGAGAATGGAAATAAAAGCAATGCTAAGGATATTGAGTCACTTTTTAAAAGGCACTGCGACGTTTCTTGTGCATATTTGCAAAACTCCCGCTGACAAAGCGCAAATGAAGAAAGTGGAAGTTGAACTTAATGTTTATTTTATTTCCCAGTTCATTGTGAGTCCGCCTCTTGACAAGGCCTGGAATCTCGCGCTTCACGCGCCCACACAGTCAAGAAATTCTACTTGTGATTGTGGGTGGCCGTTACATTTCACGATGATCTATTTTTATTTTCTACTTTTGATTTTTTTATATTGATATATATAAATATGCATTTATTTATGGTGCTTTTTATGATGTTTGTTCATAGGCCTTAATTTATTCCGTTGCCATCAATGACAAAATAAATACCCAAGCGACAACAGCAAAAAAAAAAAAACCCTCATTTGGTTGTTTTCATTTTGGTGGTCTTGGATGTGCTGTCATGAATTATTGCGACACAACTCCACAGATATGCACTAATGGAGAGATGTCTCCTCTAATTCAACTTCTTTTTAACTCATCTCATTGTTGATCTGTGTATCATTGCATTTGAGTAACATAATGGGGACTTTAGTCTGCTTCATATCAGTATCCAGTCATTAAACTAAGAGCTTCATGTAATAGTACAACAAATCATATGCAGTGCCAAATGTACTTTTTGGTTGTTTTCAAAGTTCAGTTCCAATACATTTAATATTTAAAGACTTTTGGGTGCAACCCACAAGCCACCATCTTTATCTCTAAAATGTGTTATTTTTAAATCAAGGCGAACGAAGAACATTCTAAACTGTAAAAGCGTGCAGCACAACCGCTGCCATTATAATTCAAAATTGTAAAACGTTGAATAATTTACATTCAGACATTCAATACACGTTATTGACGCATGCAAGTGTGTGACAGGAAATTATTTTCTCGTCAGTCTGATGACCACACAAACAAAAATTTTACTCGACTACCTGTTGCATATACACTTATTTACTGGGAAAAGAAAAAAAACTTGCTTGTTTACTGTTTTTTGGGGGTGGGGGGTCTCTTTCTGAGTCACCCTAAAATGGTGCCAAAGCCGAAAGCAGTGTGAACTGTGACCTGCCTGACAGCCATCTTATCACCCAGCTTGACATCAATGTCACCATGCAAAACAACTGACAGTTTATCAAACAGATGTAAAGGACATTTTCCACAGAGACCTCACAAAATTAGTATCTGATGCTCATCCAATCATTATCCAGCCCAGTTAATCAACATAAAAAGAAACGAAACTTTTTTTTTTTTGACAGTCAGAAGAGAGCGGTGCATTTGTTAATCAAATACGGTTTCATTTTTTACTAAATTCAATATTGATCTGTTAAAAGTAATGGCACCAAACTTTCCTTCATATTCAGGTAGAAACGAGGTATCTGCAAACCGAAACGAGTGCAACAGCCGAGAGACACACAACAAACCTATTTTGCCCCAAATGGCCAAAAATCCACCCACGGGTTGAATAGAACACTTGTGTGATTAAGCAGAGCTTGGGCATCATCTTAGGTAAATTGTTGCAAAGGAATGACATGAAAGTAAGTGATGTATCAGGAGCCTAGTTCAGCATTTCAGTTGCATTTTTTTTTCATCAAATCATTTTAAGTGACTTATTTGTAAAGATAATGTAACTTGAAATATTTGGCATCACAGTTGAGATGCAACAATTAATCAATTATTCAATTATCGGGATGGTGGGTGACTGGTTAGCACGTCCGCCTCACAGTGCAGAGGTCATGGGTTCAAAACTGGCCCTGGCCTTACTGTGTGGAGTTTTTATATTCTTCCCGTGCCTGCGTGGGTTTTTATTTCGGTATTGCACTTTGCTCCCACATTCCAAAAACATGCATGGCACGTTAATGGAACAATCGGTAATTTGCCCCTAGGTTTGATTGTGAGCGTGAATGTTAGTTTGTCTATGTGT